GTCCAGATAGTTATCAAACATTTCCTAAGAAAAACTTGATATTTCATCTGTTATTTTCAGTAATTAATCTCTGTAGAGTTTGGTAAATTTGACCAATCTTGCAACCACCATAAAAAATTAGGAAATAAGCATAAATTATGCCTCTTTCATTTTAGAATGAACATAAATTATAATAAGAAAACATAAATGTTTGGATGAAATAGCTTAAATCTCATAATATTGTACATTTATATATATTTATTATTTTTATTATATTAACCTTTCACCAGTGCCTGGCTAACAATACAAAAGTTACAACAAATCGGCTCACGTGCACTCATGTTACTGTATCAAATAATATAAAACTGACCTTTGGTCTGTACAAAGTAACTTGTCTTAGCTGTGTTTCAGTTGACTAGTATTTTGTAAAATAGTCACATTTCAGTTATTATACATTATATGTATATAATTATTGCTATTTTGAAATAGGTTCTTAGTTATTTCTTTAAAACATAGTAGAGTAAATGAAGAAGTAAGGCAAACAATTATTTATTCTAGTTACGACCTTTGTACTCGGTTGCTGCTTGTCGTAGGTTGCTAAGCCTTTAAAAATTTTGCACGTGGAGGATATGAAACAAAATATTTTTTAGGTTTTATATATACTTTTGCATAACTAAAAAATCATAAATTAATACATCAATACCTTAGAATTCTACTATAATTTATAAAACTTAGTAACTAAGCTGTATCTACAAAATATGAAATTATGAGCAGACAAAGGACACAACCTACCTCATTGAAATCTTGGTTCAAAAGAAAAAATGTTGCTAGGTGCATTAGAATAGATGAGAAAACCACTAGGGGGACATTCTGAGCTTCCGATTGGTTATTCATGTGATATACAGAAGTAAGTGTATATAAGGGAGCGTTTTCAAAAATAAAGAGGTGAGTGGGGTGCCACTGTGTTTGATGTATTACGTGAGCAATATCTTAGCAAATAGAAAATATAAGACCCTATTTTATATTCTAGCATGTCAATATCTGTAATTTGAGTTTCTAATTCATATGAAGCTACCGACTTAGTATTTTGACTTCACAGACATCTAATTTGAACCAGTGCCACATTCAACATATCACTTGACACACAAAAATCTATGTTTATTTGTGTTTTTTTAATACTTACTTTTAACTTTACAAATTGAGTAATGTATAGTTCTAAAATTTGAATTATAATCTACAGTTTGATACCAAATTTATTGACATAAATTCATGAAATAGTAGTTCAATAAAATTTTGAATGCGAGTCAACAAACGAGATGACATGGCCTTTCACCTGTGACCCATCTCGAAAGGGTTAACTGAATTGTTACCGTTTGATCAAATATTATTTTTTTTTTACTTTCATAATTTACACAATCTATCTTATATAGCTTATTTTCTTTCAGAATTCTCCAGTTTTTTGGAGTCACTTTCATTTGACAAGATTTGGTTCAAAATGTTGGTTCAAAAATTGAAACAGGTTTTAATATTTTCCATACAAGTGAGTGCACCACTATACAAAATATATATGTGGTATATTGTGTTAATCAAACTGGAAGTTACCTTAAATTATATGATAATCTCTACTTTAGTTATTGATTACAGCCTATCAGTTAGTTTTTTAATAGTCTGTATTATGCAGTCTGTAGTTTTATCATGAGGTGAAGTAATTTCAATTTGCTCATTTACATGCATCTGTAAGACATGAAGTTATGCCATCTGCCTGAGCATTGTTTATATGTGCTTCGTTGATTGGATTTTGTAGAGGCAGTAAATGTAAGCGAGTTTAATGATAAGGGCTGACTTTGAGGTTATTTGTTTAAAATCTATAATAGTTTAGTTTAGAGGATGGGAAAGCCGAGAAGGACCAACAAGGCCCCCTTTTGTCCGTAAACATTGTTATGTTATAATATTCTCGTACCTACTGTGCATTTGCATTTTTTGTTTTAGACCGAAAGGTATACAGGTGACTAAATACTAATACGCGATGCTGGTGAGAACAAGTTTTATGCTCATAGTAGCGAATATGGAAGAAAAAAAGTAGAAGCTACAAACAACAAAATTCGCCTTAGTAGTTACAAAGACAAAAGCTATAGTCTCGTTTACTTTCAGGTGTGACACCCATCCTGCCAGGAATTTTTATAATTACCCAATTATTATATATTCTTAACATGAAAATCACCTTGTATTACACTGATTCTGATTCCATGCATTCACAGACAAGTCTAATAAAAATGATTAAACTTAAGTTTCTGTGTACAAAATATTTAATATTTTTCTAAGAACTTGCCAGATTTTGTGAAGATACACCTACTGCATTATAAGTTATAGTTTCATGATAACAGTGGTTCCAGTCTTAGTCAAAATGAAATAGCGCGTATAGAGAGGGTTAATAGAGACATGGCAAGGTTGGGCAATTTTGATCCTAAATTGACGAACACCTAACATACGAGTGTATCAAACGGCAGGGGTGCAAACAACTTGTTTTCAGTTAGTTTTGAAAGACTACGTTGTGCTAGCATTACAAGTCAGCGACGGCAACTTTACTATCCTAGACCGCAGCATGAGTTTCTACTTAGTTTGCACATATAAACAATTTTAACGTGTAGAAATTACAGTAATTATTAAACCAAGACCACAACAAATAAATATATATAAACACGATTTTGCGTAAACACCATGGCTGGTCAATATACAATGTAATATTATTTAAATTGTGTGACTTACAACGCCATACACCGGGTTTCAATACCTATTGTGTAGTTTTGTGCTTCATTTCAAACAAAAAATACTAAGTTTTTCTTAAAAATTACAAAATACCTTCAGGTAACAAAAGTTAGCATTCGTTTTTTTTTTCTTTTGCTAAGGAAATATTGTATCTAGTTAAATATATTTATTGTCAGTTTTGTGCATGTTTAGATTTGGGCTAGTGTGTTCGTTATTATAATAGTAAAAGGGGTAAGAACGTATACGTTTTATTCTGGTACGTACAATGATTTATTTATGTTTACGTAGTTTTACTCAAACCTGAACGAAGCTAATATATTCTGCTGTTTTTTAGATATAATCAGTTTCACTTGTTTAATTAAATCCAAGTTTTTTTATGACTTGTTACGAAGAATGGGTATGATAATGTATTAATATAAGTTAATATATTCAGTTTTGTATAGTTTTTGTGAACAGTTCAAGGTGATCTTTCACTTAGTATGGAATATTATTCAGATAACTTGAGTTGTACGTGGAGACTCATATGTTAGTTTATTTTTGAGTGTCAGATTGAGGATGTATCAGTCACAAAGAATTTCATCAATGCGTGGTCCATACTGAACGTTAACTTTCTCACCTATACTGGACTTCAGTTTGAAAACACAAAGATAATCGAAAATAATAAGTATTCTGTAGGTTAAGTGACGTAAAATTCACATGTCGTGTTTGGAAATCGTGTAAGAATATAACAATCCCAACTAGTTTGG